AAATACTTTCTGTACTGGATCGGTTCTTGACACTGAAAGAGCCCTCGTTCGGAGATGCGCCCTCATTCCTCGTTCAATGAAATTGGTCCGGTGACTTCCATCATTTGTGGCCATAAGTATTTTCATGGCTATGTCCACTCGAAGATGGAAATTTGTATATTTGGCAGAGAGATTGTAATTAAATAATAATTAATGCAATGAGAAATGGAATTGATCCTCTAAATTCCATGGAGAAATTTCTGTGGGAATTGAGACTGGCAGGCACCCAGGATGAGCTCGCTGCAGAAAAACGCCGTATTTTCTACCGTTAAAATGACACTGCTGAAAGGGACTTGAGCGTTGACACTTTGCTGTCACCTTCTGACATTTATGCTCTAAGGCCACATCAATTTCCTGATTTATCTTATTACTCTTGAACCATGTCGACAGAATCAGAGATACAGGAGAAAGAATTCGGGATATTGAATGCTACATTGAGAGACACCATGGTAAAGTTGGTTAGTGAGGTAAGTAGGTTAGGAAGTTGTAGCAATTTGTCCACAAATTATGTTCTCCTGTCAAGGTAGCTTGTGAGCCAGGGGTGGTCCATTCCATTCCAGCAGAGTTTGGTAAGAAGCATGGCCCGGCTGGCACTGTCAAAGCCTTAGAACGTAGGGCCCGTTGAGAAACTGATCCAAGGTATATTTCAACTTCCCTGATTAAGAGCTTTTTGATGAACAGCGATTGAATATTCAGATTTCAGTTGTGGTTGTCATCACTTAAGTGTCCGTTGGTATTATTCTGATTAATACAGTATATGAAATCAGAGAATTAAAGTTAGTATCGCGTTCATGCTCATTTCGTATAATTGATGATTTGCATATTTCATCGAGTTTACCGGGATGAGGTCGAAATTGTTTCCCTTGGACTTGGAACTTCGAGTACGCAGTCATATATTATCATCCAAAACATGCATGTCTTCATTTTGGATTCACCAATTTCGGACTTCCACGAAGTCACTAAGGCGAACATATAATTTCGCAGTAAGCCTTAAAAGAATTTGTAGATAATCTCCGGATGCGTCTGATTCCTGCAGAACTTTTTGAATAAACCTTTCACTAGAGGTCAGAAGAATGCATTTAAAACGTGAACACCTCGATAGCTGCTTGTGCAGCAAGTTTCAGGTTTGAACCCTATGCAGAAAACAGAATTACCGTCAGTCACTCTCTTAGTCATTCACTCGCACTCACTCAGTCACGTTCGTATATATCCGAGGTCCAGTCTGAAGTTCACGGGAGGCTAAAATTATACTTTCATTAAAATCAAGCAGATAGTAATCGAATGCGCTTTACGTTAAAAATGACCTGGAACCATCCACTTCGCCTCCCCGAATGCTTGCCCACACATTCACGTGATTCAGTTGGTCACTCGCTCCATTAATTCGGCGAATACCATAGCGCTGACCAGTGGGAGTATGGAAAATAGGGAATGTTCGAGGTCCTCCGCAGAAGTGCCAAAAGCGTGAGACATCGCACGTTTCATTCTCGTGGCTCATGGTGAGCTAATTGCCAAAACACATTCGGTTCAGTCGCCTGCCGAGCGGGAAAAATTCCTATCGTTTGATGCGTCCGTCTGCCACAAGCAGATCACGGCGCTGGACTCCACCTTTTTTTTGGCTTTTTCTTGTCTTATCTGTTTGCAAGAGGCGAGGAGAGGATGGCGTAATTGTTCGTCGGCGATGCTTTACCTAATTGCAGATGAATGATTTTTTTGTGACCTGGGAAATGTACATATTTACCTTCAGCTTTGTTTTGCATAATGATAAACGGACATGACGAAACTCATTCCCCATATTAGTCGTCGCGATGTGGCTTGAGAAGGCAGCAACTCTGCGTTGTTCGTCGCCGAGGAAAATCGCAAGGTGCTCATGTCGTTCTGCTCCATTCATGTTGTCCTGCTCCATTCATGTCGTTCTGCTCCGTTCATGTTGTCCTGCCCCACTCATGTTGTCTTGCCCCACTAAAGAGAGCATTGCGCGGACCTCAAAACGAAGAAATTTAATTGGTGAAGAACCAATCCGTACATTCCATTATTTCAAATGTTGGCGCGAACCAAAATGGAATAGGCAGCTCTTTCGATCAACTCTTTAAGGGGATTTTTCGGTCCGACCTGCCGAAAGTTTCCCGTCTTAATCTGCCAAAAAAGAAAACAGAATTAACCCAGCATGGTAGAACCTTACCCATTTATTTGAACCATTTGCGGCGGAAGGCAGGAATTGCAAATGTCGGTGCGAGACCATCCGCATTTCCATCTGTATCTCATCCGTTTTCTTCGGCAGTCCGGTGATATGAGTAAGAAAAATTAAACGTAGAAGCTGGGAAAATTGATCAATCGAATATTGAATCAATTGAAAGCGATGCAGAGTTTTTGGAAAGCCACTTCTATATAGCTGGCTCTGTAATATGCGTCTTTCGACTGCGTACGCGTATTGTACAGGCGCGCCCGGTGGCGTGGAGAAATGGATTCATCGATTAATCATAATTTACTTCTTAATCATGACTCATGCAAGTCGTTAATTACTAAATGGAGTCGACCGTTCAATCAAAACATGGGCACAGTACAGGGATGAGGAAAAAGAAGCGAAAAAGAGGATTCCTCATCCCATCCTGAGATCGGGACTGCATGGCAGGAAAAACCGCATCTTTTACAGATGCAGATTCCGCATGGTAGATCCTTAGCTCTCTTGCCGCCTGGGCAAGCAAATGGGGAAGATAATAATGAAAATACAAACGCGGTTAGACTGCGCTCTGGTTTCGGACTTCAACGGAATCTCATGATACGGACATAACATTTGGCAGTAAGCCGAAAAATACATCTGTAGGAAATATCTGGAAAAGTTCGGATACATCTGGTTCGCGCTGAAACTCCTACAATTTCAAGTCAAAAGTAACAGGGAATAATTTGTTCGAATTAAGGAGACGGTAGTAATTGGACACGAGAAGGACCTTGCACCATTATCCTTAATTGACCTTGAACCATCCTCGCCTCCCACTTTAAATGCTTGCGCGCGCAGTTGAGTGTCTCGGATGAACGCTCACACCGTCAGAGCCGGTTAGTACTACAGGATTGAATCAGTAAGCCACTCGAAAATTTTCTGTTAGATACATGCATTTAAATAGGAAACCTATTTAAACCCATTTACCAGGAAAAGGAAGTCGCTGTTCGAGGTCAATTTTGTCATTAAGCGCATTTGATTACTACCTGCTTGATTTTAATAAAAGCCTCCCGTGAACTTCAGACTGGACCTCGTATACATAGCTCGTACGAACGTGACTGAGTGAGTGTGAGTAAATGACTAAGAGTCTGAGACTGACTGTTTTCTGCATAGGGTTCAATCCTGAAACTTGCTACACAAGCAGCTATCGAGGTGTTCACGTTTTAAATGCATTCTTCTGACCTCTAGTGAAAGGTTTATTCAAAAAGTTCTGCAAGAATCAGACGCATCCGGAGATTATCTGCAAATTCTTTTAAGGCTTACTGCGAAATTATATGTTCGCCTTAGTGAATTCGTGGAAGTCTGAAATTGGTGAATCCAAAATGAAGACATGCATGTTTTGGATGATAATATATGACTGCGTATTCGAGGTTACAAGTCAAAGGTGAATAATTTCGACCTCATCCTGGTAAACTCGATTAAATATGCAAATCATCAATTATACGAAATGAGCATGAACGTGATACTAAGTTCATCTCTCTGATTTCATATACTGTATTAATCAAAACAATACCAACGGTCAATTAGGTGATGACGACCAGTACTTATTCAGAACAGAAATCTGAACTTTTCAGTAATATTCAATCCCAGTTCATCAAAAAGTACTTAATCAAGGACGTTGAAGTTAGGCGTGGATTAGTTTCTCAATATTCTAAGCCACAAAATGCTTCTCATCAAACTCTGCTGGAATGGAATGGACCACCCCTGGTTCACAAGCTACCTTGACGAAAGAAAACAATTTGTGGACAACTTGTCACAACTTCCTAACCTACTTACCTCATTAACCAACTTTACTATGGCGTCATTGAATATAGCATTAAAACGTCCTACATTCTTTCGCCTGTACACCGTCGATCTTGCCACCTTTCTCAGCGATGGAGCCATAGTCTAATTCGTGGATGAAGTCCTGATCCTCATACGAGCGTCTCCATGAAATCTTGACTGCCGGAAGTGAAGAATGGAGATGATTATGAGGGAACCTACAAAACCAGTATAAATGGAATCACCTGAAACTAAACTCACGCAAGAAGCAATACTTCCTTTTGGAATCTGCTTCAAGACTCCGCTAGATCACACCAACTGAATTCCTGATTCAATCGATGGTCATCTCCAGAAATCAATTTGGGTCATTTTTCCACTCATCGGTAACTTGGGAACTTCCTGTGGCTTATAATATTTAGTATTTTCAAGATGCAATTACTGTATCATGATGGCGCCATGCACGATATAGGAAACAGTGCCCATATTCACTCATTATGGATCTCATAGAATTCATCGTTATACTTCACATCTCATACTGTGTATCAGTCTGGGTAATTGCAACCTGATGAACACATCATCGAGTGCATGAACTGCTCGACTTTATAGCAAGACTCGTGGACGGACTCGGAGAATGCAATCACGTATCTCCAAAAATGGAAAAACTGGAATCGGATTGCATTGCAAATTATGCAGGTCGTAATATTTTACATCGTCAGTCTTAATTGATATCTTCATCACGATTCATGCAAGTCGTTATTAAACTAATAGTCATTGCTCAAGCAAAACATGCGCACAGTACAGGGGTGATAGAGGAAACCGTAGCATTATTAAGAGATAGGGTCCCCGTGGATCGCTCATCAATTGCATGGCAGTTTACAAGGAGGAAAAACATTATCTTTTACCGCGGCAAGTGCGCAGAGAGATACGATTATCTGCGATGTGTCGGGGATCGCACTCGGGAGGCCATGGCATGGTAGAGGGGGATATGGCAGACCGGGCCATGACATCGCAGCGGGAGAGAAGGCATGGCAGGCCATGTCAGGGCACGCAGAAGACGAAGCTGGTGACGCGGATGCTGGTGTTCGCGGCCATCGGGACCGTCTTCCTGATCGGGGAGACGCGGGTCGACGACCGGCGAGTCGGGAACTACTTCAAGGCGTTCGGGATCGGGAGTCTTGCCGTGTCGGCGTTCACGGGCGTCTGCCTCTTCCGGCTCCTGCTGGTATCGTTTCCATTCGACTCATTCTGTGTAGAAGGACTGGTTAGGACGATAACCGCCGGTAGTATTATGGAAGTTCGTACTTTTGTGTGGATATGCTCCTAGGCGAGACTCTCACCTGACCGCAGTCATCCGTTAGGCACGAATGCCCTATTTTGTCGGGCACACGCAAAACGGGTATTGCATGTTTTTGGGGGACTTTTTGGGGAAAAACAATTGTAGTGGAAATCTAATACTTGAGACGAGTTCCGGCTCCGAGAGAAAACCAGCATCAAAGATAACCATACAATCTACTAAATTGAAAGCTGCACGCATATCTCGTTCTGGTCCCGCAGGAGGATGTTTGCCTCCTGCCATCCACTCTCGTGCTTCTTCTCCTTTTCCTTTCCTTGAAAAATATTAATAAATATTTTCCTCATTCTTGGAGAAATGGAGCTTCCGAGTGCATAATAGGAGAATTTCCCCCCCGCATTTATCGAGGCATAAATTAATTTATTGGCTCAGGTCCTCTATCAAATCTCAACATGTTTACTACTGAGAAATTTTTTCTTGTATATCTTTCTGAGTATATCTTTACTGCATATCTTTCTGAGGCATCAGTTTCGTTTGTCAGAGAATTAACTTGAATATTCCTAGGCTTTGAACTTCACCCAGTTCATAGCCCAGGAAGGGCCCAGGAAGGGCCCAGGAGGGTCGAAAAAATTTCACAGCCTAGTGAACAATGGTTCTCGAAATTCTTCGAGGCTGCTAGGGGCGTGGAGCCCCCAGCAGCCTCGACCTCCCCCCCCCCCCCCCCCACCTCCCCCCCTACAACTAGGTCGTCAATGTCGACTGGCAGACTTCCAAGCGACTTCCTCCTTTGGAGATTCTGAAGAATTGACGTCGTGAGTAGGAAGGAAATCCAAGAATGCGCTACTTGAGACAATATTCGAGAGTGTTTCGCCTCTCGAGCACAATTCCACTATTACTTTTATGTTCAAAGGAAGCATCATTTCATGTCGCTTCACTTGCAAGAAACATGCATGCCATTTGTAATGCATGCCATTTGTAAGATGAGTTCAGAAGCAATGGTTCCAGCGTTCCTGGAACGTCTTCAACGTTAATTACTTTTAAGCATGGACGTATTTCGCGGATTCGCTCGGCAAGGAATAATATAGATATATTCGCTCGAGGCCAATCGCTGGCTTCAGGCAGTGCAATAATATCGGAATTCGCTGGCTCTAATGGAACTCCCGCTCCCACCTGATCTTTCTCCCATTTTTCGGCCCACTCTCGCCCGATGGTTTCGATTTCCTCTCGTGGGAATACTCTGGGGAAATAAAGCGTCGTACCAATCTGGAGATGCGAGATGAATTCCGCCAACCCATCCGAGGGGAAACCCAGGGAAGTATTTCCAATCTGCGCTGTGCGTTTATGACGTTGATGAAGTGAACGTGACCCACGCCCAACACATGGGAATTCATTTTCCTGTCATACAATGTTTGAACTTGCAGTCACCGAAATAATAACGTGTAAGGCACGCTTTAAATCTCCCTACATATCGGCCAATCGGAAAATGAATATTAGGAACGGACTCTGCCTCATTTCGTGAAATGATAATTTTAAAGACGAGTTGTACTTGGGACAATAGGGCAAGCCGAGGACGACTGAGAGCGTTTCTTCGTCGTCCCCTCGACGTCGCCTGCTGGACAGACTTCAAGGAAAACCCAGTCCTTTTTTCAAACGAGCAGTTTTTAAAGGTCATCAATGCGATGCAGGAATATCGGAAAAGTTGGGAAGATCATATTATTGCTATCAGAAGGGAAGTCCTTCCCTTCTGATAGCAATAATAGTAACCAAAACAGTAAATAGGATTGATATGAGAAGGCCGGGCAATCAATCAATCAATCGATCGATCCAGTTATGAGAAGTCATGCGTGGGAGATAAGCCTGCTTTATGTGAGAGGATAGCAAAAAACGGTAATGGTTCTTCATCCGCCAATATCATCCAATACTGTTCGAGGCACATGTTTATCGAAACAATGAAGGATGGCAGTACCCCTTAGATCCTCTGTCTATTATCGAAAGGAGCGGCCTCCTGTGGAGAGACCGAGGAGGTCGTTCGTTCGTGGGGCCAACGTCGGCCCGGAGACGAAACTGCATCCACTCCGAGATGGGAAGGGAGAGCGAATCGAGCAGGACCGAGCATCGACCGAGATCGGCCACTCTCCTTTCGCGATCGGTTTCAGTGCTTCCGGCGCGATCGGTTTCAGTGCTTCCGGCGCGATCGGTTTCAGTGCTTCCGGCGCGATCGGTTTCTGTGCTTCCGGCGCGATCGGTTTCTGTGCTGGACGGTTTCTCGAAGAGCGGAAAACGCCCTTCACTTATTGGTAGCAACGAATATTTCACCGATTATACCCCGTCAAGAGTGAGGATATTCCGTTTCGATAGAGAGCGTCACAGATTAAATTAAAGTTATGAGGAAGTCATCCAACCGGAGATGTGTTAGACCCTTTAAATTCCGGCGAAGGAGATAATCCCCCGTCAGACCGAGAGAGAGAGTGGATCGGACCGAGGGGATGAAAGGATCCAGCGGCTGACACTCGAAGCGATGTCCGCGGAATACCAAAACGCTTGAAGCATGACCGCCATATCGATCGCAACCGCCATACCGATCGCGACCGTCATATCGATCGCGACCGCCATACCGATCGCGACCGTCATATCGATCGCGACCGAGTTCACGAATAGAGCTGACACTTTCTGCGAAGTTTGCTTTCCTCGGGAGAGTGACGATTGTTTGGGCCGAAACACGAAGACGCCAGGAAGGAGTCCCTGCACGTCTTTAATGTGCCTTTAGAACGTTCGGCCGGATGAAGACCAACAGTTTCGTTCAGTTCCTGATGTCCATGGAAGTGAATTAGAGTATCACAGTCGGGCAGACCGGAGTGAAAGAATGTTGTATATACTCGTACTTGTGTATCATATTTTACTCTTGAACGCACCCGAACACCCATACTGGCACATACCCACAAAAGCTTCAGCTTTCCTCGATCCCAAAAATCCTCTATAATAAAATCTATTGTTGTCCGTTGCGGTGGTGGAAGAGTCAGTGGCATGCGCGCGCGCGCGCGCACGACGCACGAAAGCACGACGCACGAACGCGACAGCGTGCGCTCTCCCATAGCCACAGTCATTTGTTGACCCGGCGTGGGCAAAGGCGGCTGACGTGATAGGTTGAAATTTGGCCGTGATGGCCAAATTTTCCCTCTCGTTATGAAATTGAGTTTTAGGCGAAATTAGGAAAAACGGTACGTCGGAGCAGGTTCTGTCCCATGAGAAGGGCAAAAAATTTCAGGTCTCTATATTCCGCGGTTTGGATGCCGAAGCGCTAATTCATACGCCGAAGTGAAAATTTTTGCGGTGGTCTGCAAAAAATCGTCGGAAAAAATCGCAGATTGAGCGAAAGTTGGACTCGTTGAACCCCGCGTCCGATAAGCCCTCGGCTCGCCTCACCCAGGTTTGGATTTGCGCCGAATTCCGCCAACAGTGTGCGGCTGATATTGATTCCGCATGAGAAGTTCCCAAAGGTTGAACCTAATGGAAGACGAGGAAGTGCATGTGGAAAGGGGAGGGCAGAAACGGGCCGATGAACCGATTCATCGAATCAAAGGGGGGGCGAGGGGGGGCAAGGGGGGGACAAGGGAGAGACACATTGCGGGGATTCCGGTCGGAGGGATTATTCGAAAGGGAATTACGGCTCCCTAATCACACAGACTGCACAGAGACACGACACGCTATGAAACGTTATCTTTTTCGGCCTCGAGTGGAAAGGAAGATAAGAAAAAGAGGAGAAGAGCCGTCGACACGGCCGCTCCAAAGTTCCGCGATGAGGTCGTGGATCGAAGACGGCGGATGGAGGCGGAAACCGCACGAGATCTCCCTCGTCGCGAGGGCGCTGGTGCTCGCGGCGCTGGGGGTCGGGATGTTGGTGGTCGGGAGGTCCACGGAGATCTGGACCCGGCGGATCCTCTCGGGCGTGGGGATCGTCTGCCTCCTCTCCTCGCTTTACCTCGTCGGGAGCTTCGTTCGGCTGGTCCGACTGGTATTTCGCTTTCTTCATCTTCGTTGGGGGGGCGGGGGGGAGGGAGGCAGGGGGGCGGGGAGGGGAGGGAGGTCGGAGTGGCGAGAGACTTGCTTCGCGAGCGATGCGGATTCGTCCGGGTACGGTGCTGACTCATCTGTCAGACATTCCTACCTTCTTTTTTTTCCTTTATGTTCAGTCGCGTTACCTCGCGACTGTTACTTCGCTGCCTTCGTTCAAGGAATTTTTATTATTATTATAAAAAAAGTCATTTCGTGCGTAAAATCTGCATTTCCTTACCAGACCTAGTATCCGAATTTGTCGCTGCGAGGAAACGGCGAGTGCACGTCTCCAGGGGAGACTGGCACTGGCAGGAGACACTGGCAATCACGACTACTTATGCCATATTTGCATGTCTTAATTGCTCATCTCGACCCCTTTCCCGTATTTGCATGTAGTTGGCCCACGAAGAAGTCTCATTTCGCGTATGCGCTCCGAGAAAGGAGGGAACCATTGCTTCCAAGCTATTTTTTTTTTTGCAGGCGCCTCGTTGTCATTTTCCTCGACGTTTTCCAGAATCACTTAACTCTGCAGAAATTTTTCAAGCAAATTGTTTCGCACCTGAAAAACGAAGCGAAAGCGAACGTGTCAGAAATATCACTCGACGCGATTATCGCTTTTCCCCCCTCCGAACGCGGAGATCGGCAGGATTTTCCTTCCACTTTCGCTCTCGCTTTCGCGACGATGCAAGCACGCGTCCCGCGACGAGGAAACGCGACGAACCAAATGAGAGAAAATTTCCGAACGAAAATGAAAAAGAGAAGCAGCCCAAAAAGCCCATTTTCCTACCATTTTCCGTTCCGCCATCGTCAATTGGCTCGCATCCAAACCGATGAAAAGGAGGCTCGCATCCTCAAAGAATGCTAACCATGCTAAGGGGTGAAGGACTCGCGTAACGCTCGAGTAACGCCCTCCGACTGTGAAAAAGGAAAAAGGAATTACGAATATAGAAGCTCTCGAGATTTCCCCATGCCAAATCTAACATTTAAAAGACGGATTTAAATGCCGTAAGGTGAACCTTGCCTAGCGAGTTTCACCCGCGTCCCTTTACGCACGTTTTGTTTGCTTCCCCTTAAGAAGCCGGTATCTCTCGTTGGGATGGTCCAAACAACTTGAAATGAAGGCCGTTTGGTCGGCTGAGACGCCAGACGATGCTGTGAAGTGTCGATTGCGGTTATGAACCGGAAATGTTTGCGAAAACGAAACGGGAAATGAAGGAAGAACCGAGAAACGTGCGATTTTTTAAATGCGAAAAATCTGAAAATAAGTCATTTTATTTAAGTCACGTATTATTTTAATATTATTTTGGCGCTTCAGCTGTCGCCACGCAGGAAAACCCACAAATAAAACACATTTTACCAAACTAAAAAATGCTGAAATCCGCACTGAACATTTTTAAGTCATTCAAAACCGCTCGTGACGTCACAACACGACGATATCGCATCAGCGGTGAGCGCAAACCGGTCCACATGCATCCTATCCGGCGATTTAATCGTTCAGCGACCCCGGAATTACAAATTACAAATCTCAATTATCGAGCAACGATAATTGAGCGTTAATTACAGCCTCAGTCTCAGTGAACGCCCTATCGTGTCCTCGCTGGAACGGAGTCGAGGTCAACCAACAGTCTGCGAGGTCAACCAACAGTCTGCGAGGTCAACCAACAGTCTGCGAGGTCAACCAACAGTCTGCGAGGTCAACCCTGTTCCTTTGCGATCGCGAAGAGGAGTTGCCCGAGAGATAAAACACGAGATAAAGTTTTCCATTCATTAATTAAATTATGCGAATTTCTCGTTGTCTTCTGTCTTCCATTCTCATCATTTATTTATTTTTGTGTTTCGAATTCTCAGTTAGAGAATTTACAGGGTGGAAGTGCGCGGAATGTTTGAATTAAATAATGTATTAATTAATTAATTAATTCATCCCCTAGTGTAACTGATAAAATGCATTTTTTTCCGGATGAGAATTTAATTTCCCATTTCTTGTTGAGATCCAATGGGATTTCGTTGAGACACGCGAAGTCTTGAACCGAGACGTTTCTTTCCGGTTTTCAGTTCGCGTATAAATAAATAATCCTTGCTGAAGAGAACAAAATAACGGTCTTGCCGCTGGAAGAAACGAATTCGGTCAGGGATTATCGATTCCAACCGTTGTGACTTCACAGACTAAAAGTTATTATTAAACGTGCCCGTAATCAAGGAAATAATCCTTGAATCCTTGAATAATTCTAACCTGTTACAATGTCTTTTTTTTCTTAAGCAATTCGCTATCGCAGGAAAAAAATATCTACCCATGTTCAATCTGGCTAAAGAAAGTTGAGGCACGCCACACCGACAGCCTTTTCCCTCCCCTTCCCCCCCTCACCCCCCCTCACCCCCCCTCGAGCGTCTCAAGCGGGCCATTGCAGGGCCGGAACAGACCCATGTATCAGCAGGAAGAGGGGGGAAATCGCCCCATCAAGTCGATGCTCGGGAGGGCGGAGTGCATCGAGGATGGGGCCAGGCATCCATCACCTTGCCGAGGAACAATGGGGCGACTTCCCCGATTCCCCCCCGTTTCTGATACGAATACGTTTCCGGGAATGTGAACGCGATTTAAACTTTCTATGGGTAGGATGGCTGCAACTCCTTCCTATTTTCGTTCCATTCAAATATATTATGGAAATTTGTGACTCATAGCGTTCGCATTCTTTTCAATTTATAATTTAATTTGTATAAGAAAAAAAAATGTTTTACAATTTTTTCTGCGATTGTTGTCCTCTCTACTTATTTGTCAACTTCCATTGAAATGAACTGGAATAAATTCGCGGCACGAAGCGATTGAAAGTATCAATAGAAGCACCATTCCAAGTTCTGCCATCTATTCTAAAATATACTCATCCCCATAGAAATCGCAAATTTGTTTCTTTCGCCATTTCCATTTTGCTGCACTCGTGCCAGTTGTGATTCAGCCAGGCAGATGAATTTTATTTTAAATACCTTGGTTTTAACCTTAGTAGTTGTTCAAGAAAATGCAGCCCATTTATTTCGAAAACGAAATGTTCGCGATATTTTTTTCTGTTTTATTCCAACACGAACTTATAAAAAAAAATGATTTTCCTCGCTCCAACCTCGGAAAAACCGTCAGCAACTGAAAGCGAAAGCTTTTTTTTTTTTTTTTTGCCCGTTCGGCCGAATTGAAGAAGCCCCTTCCCCGGCAGGATTTCCTTTAAAGGTCTTGCCCCGGATTTCCTTTAAAGGTCTCGCGGGAAATTTCGTCGGAGACTTCGCTCCTGACTTTTTCCCTCGGCTCGAATGTCATTTGAATGCATCGGCGCTCGTTAAGCCTGCGTTCTCGAGTTGATTTCCCTCAAGATTGGCTTTCCATGCATGGAAACTCTTTGGTCGTTACGGGAAAGACGATTGACGGGGATTCCAGGAAATCCCAAAAACGTGGAACATTACAAATTCCATTACGTTGTAAACCATTACGTGTGACTGTCGCATCAAGTGCCAACTGATTCCAATTAAACACGGTTCCATTGTCGTTTCTAATTCATTTTCTAATTAATTTGGCAATTTTCAACAGCAAAGGCGGAGAGCCAACGAAGAAAGACCGCGAGTATGGTACACCGCGTCCAGCCGAGGCGACGATCCCCTCCGCGAGCGGCGGACGGCGACCGACGGCGACCCGTCGCTCTTGGGGGCCTGCCCCCCCGCGGATCCCCGCTTCGCCATCCTCGACCTGCCTCCCTCCTACGACGAGGTCATGAAGACCGACAGGGATGCGTCGGCCGAGAAGCGGCTTTCCGCGGCGTGATTCCGCGGCTCACCGAGCTGGAAGTGCTGTGATTTCTGAAACATGCATAAATATGTGTGAAGTTTCATTTATAAAAAAATAAGCTACATCTGTATTTGCTTACTGAGGCGAGATTAGATTGATTTATGCTAACTGACGAGAGAGAGAGAGAGAGAGAGAGCATTGATTCAAATTGCCCAGCAATTCAGAAATCACTGCAGATGCCCTCTGAATATTTAATAGGAGGTCATAATACGATACAGTTGGTTTCAAGGACGCTAGAGGTTCTTTTAAACAAAGTTACTGCTAAGAAGAGGGTTGAAGACAGTGCTTTTGGGCGTAAAGAGCATTAGTTGTTGGCTCTCAGGGTCGGCGTTCGGAGTCATCTGTTTCGGGTCGGTCCATGAAGTCCTGACGAGAAACGTCTGGCTTGCGTTCTTTTCAACCTCCCTTCCCTTGGGGAGGCAAGGTCGTTGCCGCAGGGACTTCCCTGAGTCCCTGCGGCACGCTGCCGTTCAGCGAAGAACTCACGAGGCATATCAAATAGTAATGGATAGAATATTTATTGCTTATTTCCAGGGAGGAGAGTGGCTTCTTACCGGCCAACGAATGAGAATTCCTTTTCGGACGTGGCTCTGGCTGGGACCTTCCGAGTCGCGCGTCTCACTTTCGGGACTGGGAATTTAAAAAAGATCTTATCATTAGGGCTAGGGTTTTTCTATCGATAAAAAAAAAATTCATTAATTTTTAAAACAAAATTGAGCGAATTCAAAACAGTAAGAATGGAATTTTTCGCGCTAGGGGAAATGTTTTGGTTTTAAAAGCTGTGACTATATTCGTGTGCCATTATATTCACTTGCCTTCGATTGAAACAGAGGAGTTGTTCAAGCTGAATCACCAGCCAAATGGAGATGGTACTAGTCCTACCAAATGCCGCAAAGACCACGTAAGAAAAGTTCCTGTTGGATCCTATACGATTTTGAAACATAAATATTTTCTTGGATTCTAATAAGATTCCTTTAGGATTCCTAAAGGGGAATCCTATGTGATTTTATTTAAAAAAAAGACACGGAAGACATTTCTTTCAAAGGTACTGAGCATGCCCGAGAATCCACAACATATTTGACCCAATTTTAAGAGAATCCTGAAGTGACTAGTGCGCCAACAGAGCCAGGAATTAGATAAGCTTCTCGCTCCTGTTTCATAACAATTTTTTCCTCTTTCACTGAATGAAAATTGCAGCTTCTATTCCAAAACTGTTAGGATTTTTCCTCTTGCATATATACTGTATATTTTCCTTCTGTTTTTTTTTTCTTCTCATTCTTCCCCCTTTTTTGTGGGGATTGAAAATACAACTTGGTACCAGTCACCTCTTTCCCTTCCAGAGAGCAACAAGAACGAGTGGTAGTCCAATTTTGACATGCTTTTAACGAATTTTTTTTCATGCAGCTCCTCATGTAGTCGACGATTATGAAACGAAACAGCTGTCGGGCACAAGAGAAGTAAGGAATTTCTCTTTGGGGACTTTTTTTTGCATCTGCACATTCATCATTTCGCCTTTTTAAAATTTCATACTGAATCAACTTTTTTATAAGCATGGAATACGATTGGGCGAGATCGAGAAAAACCAATTCACCGGCTCCACAATTACTTCAGGAGTTTTCATACGTAGGGCAAAGGAAAGTTGAATGAAGAGCCAGATATCTAACTTCTTTCGATGTCTCAACAAGCAATATTGTCAGCAGAGTTGTGGGAATTCTAAGTCAAGTTTTGACGAGTGCCGTCTACTGCTTCCAATATTGGTTCACCTTTTTGGAGCAATCATGTAGCCAAGAGCGTCAGTACCATTCGCTCCCACTTTTTCAAAGCATTACATCGAATATACGAGTATTTATCATCGGCTATTCTTCGAAGACATTTGAGACAGTGAATGGATTGACGACAAGAAAATAATGCAAAGCGAAACGATCAATGAGGAAATTGTGCGACGCTCTCTTCGGCAGTTCCCATGTGAGTCGATGGATGTTCCGGTGGTTCCTGCCTCCAATTCATTGTCTTCTCCTTCCCTCTCGAATTGTGCTTTCTCGCTCATCGTTCCCTCTTCTTACCCGTAATGAGTTAACCCATTCAGAGGGGAGGACTCGGTCCTCATTCTGCACCCTTCAAAGGTGGATCATTATTTATTCATTGTCAATGAGTGCAGTATGGCTCTGGAAGGACGCTCGACGAACGTTCTAGTGTGAGTAAATAATGGCTTATTTATAGCCCTGTCGCCGTGGAACAGGAGTTCCTGAAGGAGCCTTGCCGATTCACTTTTGTTTCCTTATGTTTAATTCTATGAGGAAACCTTTGAAGCAAAAAGTTCGAGAATCTATCCGAAGGTGAATAGTGTGAAAGATTAACGATGAACGATTTTAAAGGAAAGTACCTAGTATTTTTAGATCTAAAGCCCTTGATTCTCATTCATTACTTTCTTGAACAATTCATTTTAATTAGTCTTATATCACCATATCCAGTCAGATTCGACCGTATATAGTTTTTATTGTGTCTCATAAATAAGTATAAGAATCTCAAGTGCATGCGTAACAAGTTAAAACTATTGTAGCTTCCCTTACGAATACGTCCTATAGGAAACCTATCGATATTTCTTATAGGAAACCTATAGAAGTTCCCGATTGGTTTTTGAAAAACGAAAAACATAAAGGATCCCAATAGGGTCTTATAGGACTCCTGACCTTTAAGATTCGGTGAGGGGTTTGGGTTTCGAGACTCTGGAATACAACCGGGATAACCACCGGGGTCTATATTGGCGCTGCTTTTTGCTATAAATTTATTGCCGAATAGTGAATTTTCCCATGGCAGGAGCACTTGTTTCTCCAGAACTAATACTGTCTTCATTTGTATAATTCCCCTGACATCTGTCTCATGGATGGGCAGGATTGCGTATCCACTTCCATTCCGTGGAGAGAGATTCTTCTCCACTCGGCCTAACGAAATAGCAGCCAGAAACTGCGCACCATCTCTTTGCTAAAAAATTAAATCTTTCCTCGTAGGGGGTTCTCACAGGGAATATGAGCTTATTTCTGGCCAAGACTCCATGATTCTTCTAAGAATATGGGGATAGCAAATAAGGAAGTGTCCAAGTATTTTGATTGCTACATTGAAGCAAGGCGAGACACATGGGGAGGTATAAAACACTCCTTTGAGAGACGATTCCATGGATAGAGGGAAGGGAATGCGAGACCCATAGCTCCATCTACTGGCTTAGAGGAGAACGTCAACATTTTCCCTAAAAACTGTCCAGTAAAACGTAGGCACATTGGTTCATGTTATTGGTCCGATATTGAATCGATGGTGGAATGGTAGTATTGAGAAGCCAATATTAACCCGATATTGGCTATATTGGACAAGGTGCAGCAACGTGCCCAATGTTGGTATGGCATTGAGCCAATATCTGGTGCTACAGGGATGGGGAGAGATCATTCCGATAAGTCAGCGGTTCCCAAACTGTGGGTCGAGAGAGGCATCAAGGTGTGTCGCGTGCATTTTCCCCGTATAGAAGATCACTATGTCCTTATCCGCTCGAGGTAAAACATGCCCTGCAGAAAAGGTCTATCTGTGTTCTTCACGCCATAATTACTTTGAAAATACCTCGTTCTGGATTCGGGTAGTTCGCGAAATTTTTTGTACGTCAGCAAGTGAGTAAAAAAAGAACTCTGGAAACCACTGCAATAAGTGACATCACAATGGTGACACAGCGTTTAGGCAGTTGAACCTTATCGTTCATCTGAATATTACGATAAGCGACACGTAAATATTGGGTTAATGTTAGATGCAATGCTCCCACGACGCTGGGAAAGTTCAAACTTAACGTTCATATAATGCTGATTAAATATTTGTTTATTACCTAGGTCCTTCCTCTTCCCCACAACACAGTTACGAATACCGGGATGGGGAAAAGGAGGGGGGAGGGAGGAATTGCAGAAGCGCCTTTCTATTAATAATTTCTGTATGCCCCACTGCTCTAACAGATGTACTGTCCATCACGGACGTTTGAGGTTTTCATTGGAACCTAATAGATCCTGTTGGAAGCCTAATGTATACCAATATATTCTTTTAGGAAACTTATTGGTACAAGGGCTTAGGAACCGAAGGGGGAGAGGGGGCAAATGCCTCCTTAGTTTTTTTAGATGGGGGCAAAAAGGTAACTTTTCCCCCTCCCCTCTTCCACTTTTTTAACCCTAAGAGTTATGCTTACACGTGTAACGTATACCAGCCTATGACCGCACAACGTCCAGTGTCATCCAGTAGAGAGTCAAGGTGGGGAGGAAGCTGAAGGAGGTGAACTAAAACATCCATCAACACGTGGAGATGCATGAATATGGAGGTGAACCCAGTGTTTGGGGTCAGCCAACCCGTGGAAGGGTTCCTTACAGTTTAAATGCAGGATCTTTTCTTCTCGAATGTGTTACCCAAACACTTTACAAGGGGCCATAACATCATTATGCGAATGGATATCAAAGTCCCTCCAATCAAGTCTAATCTCCAAAACCTATCCACCAATACAGCAAGATTTCAGCTGATTCCTCCCTCGATCCCTCACTCCGAGGTGACTGAAGAGCTCGAACTCGAACTCGAAGAACTCGAGTTAGTACCGATTTGACCGGGGTACACTTGCCCTTTTGATCGTGTGTGCTCTGAAACAGATCCCCTCCCTCTCTCAAAAAAATGCAGAGGAAAAACGTTATAGTTAGAGGATCATTTCGTTTCGAAGGTCGTGAGTTTTCCCCAGAACTTGCAAGGCTTTATCTGGAAGTGAAGATTAGCCCTTTGTCATTGAAAGTACTGTAAAGGGGTTGGACCGGTTGTTTGGCTAACATTTCTATTGTCTTTTTTTATTATTAGTTTTTCTGGAAATACACTTTTTTGTTTTCTTGAATTACGCCTTAATGACTCCCGCTCGAATTTGAATTGGCACGGACCTGAGTTCCTGGAAGGGAATTCTTTGTAATGAAATCGGG